ATTTTATGCGATAGACACAAAGTGGCATAAATCTCAAGCAGAGAAAATTTAAAATTTACATTTCAAATGTAAAAGTGTGGCATGAATTTTTTCTTAGACTACCTTTTTATTTTATTTTACACCCCTACAAGCAATCACTTCAATTCAATTCAATTCAATTCAGTTATTTCTATAGCGCCAAGTCACAACACGTCATCTCAAGACACTTTACAGTTCACTAGAGCATACAGTCAAATTGATTCAAGGTTTTCTAAGCAGAGATACAAAAAGCAGCTGTAAAAGGCGGCCCCCTCCAGGAAACACACAGCCAGGCAGACGAGCTCTGAGCCAGCTCCCATGTCAGAGGATGAAGAGAGCACATCCAGCCAGTCACAGTCAGAGAAACAGGACTACACTGGAAAACCAGGCCGATCTCCAAGAACTATAAACAAAGGTGTTGATGGCAGCAGCACAGATGATATGTATCTCCAGTCACTTAAAGACGAACAAGTGTCCACCTAGTTGAAATTCAATGGGTCATACTCATGGATAGAATAACCCAGGCATAAATTCAACAATGGCAAGACTATTAACTCACTTCTTACAGATGTTTGAGTGATTAAGCAAAGAGTACAATAAATAATTAATGCAGGATCTGTTAATATAAAAGGTTGTAGTGGCTGTAACACAAGCTGAATAACTTCACAGGGTTGGAATACTTGCTTTGATGGGAACTTATAAATGCAGGGAAAAAACACTTATTAGTAGTATTACCTACCCGTTTACTTAAAACAAGACCTTCCAGGTCACTTTCAGTTACATGCTGCTCTTCCTCGTCCTCCTCATCTTCATCAACCGTGGGTCGGGGACGTTTGTTTGTGTTAACACCGCCAGTCGTGCTTTTGCGCTTCGACATGTTAACTGCCCGACGTAAGACATGTGGACCAAATGAAACCGAAAGGAAGATGCAAACTAACGTTAGCAGTATAAAGGAGTGATGTTTCCGTACTCAAATTTACCTTAACATGCTGCTTATTGGGATTTAACTGACTTAACGGATTCTTTATAACAAGTGTACGTTCTATAAAACTGCACTGAATCAACTGAATATCATAAGGATGTAGCTAAAGTGGCTAAACAACAACGCCCGCTATACAAATATAAACTAATGATATCTATTAAATTAGCAGACTGGTGTGTACAAAGGTTGGCTCTATGTTATTAAAAGTGACTGACAGAATACAGAAAATAGCTTAAGAAAGCACTTCTTACCTCGTTGAAGTAGCTTGAACAGCAAACCCCCGGCGCCTGTCGAATTCGCGCTATTTCCACGAAATATCGCGAGAATTCACTGGATCGCCTGATAGCCCGAGAAAAAAGTGAAGCCACCGGACGCCATATTGGTACTCCCCACTCCCAAGGAGACGTGCTATAAAAATGCTTACTTGTTTAGCATCTGGCTGCAAAAAAAGCAGTTTGCCGGCTGTGGGAAGACGTTTCACAGCTAATATCAAATTAGTCTGGCAACCTCGCACTGACTCGAAGATATTGACTGAGTTAGTCATTGATATTGTGTCTAACGTCAGAAAACAGAGAGTAAAGCAATCACTGTGAAATGTCAACGTAGTAACCCTTAGCAAAATGTAATATTCTTGAAGTAAATTCTATTAAGAATACTTAAGTATAAGCATAAGTTTAGAAAGTATACCGAACAATGTACTTTTAGTGTACTTGAAGTATTACTAAAGTAATACTTTAGGGTTAAACTCTTAAGTGCACTGATTTTAAGTATGAAATTAGTGCACTTTTAGTATACTTGAATAAACTACTTTTTGCTAAGGGAATTCCTCATTATTTCTTTGATCTGTTGTTTTTGTAGTGTTTGCAGTATTTCTCATTTGAAAAATTAATAATGTGCTCAAACATTGCATGTTATACGGAAAAAAACCCAACTCATACATTTTTAAAGGCTAATACAAAGACACAGCATAAAAGTATATGGCACCATGCATGCACAATTTTCAAACAGAAAAATTCTCTAGCATTAACAGACATGTACTTGTAATTCAGTCTTGATGTCAAATCTTGAAATTATATGTAATTACCACAACGATGTCATCAACATAGTACATTACATGTACATCGTCAATTTAGCAGTTTTGGCATCTTACATCTGTATTATTGTGCTCCATTAACACATTAATTTTAATGTGATGGATTTGTATAATATTTCATATTACATGATTTATAGACTTAATTGACTTCTTAATCACTGTGCAATTTGTGCATTTTTTTTTTTTAATCATGAGTAATCGACTGATGCTATTAAACTGAAAGTGTGTGTCAAAGTAATTAATTTA